TTTTTTTTCTTAAGTTCTTGCTCTCATTTTGGTAAAAAAAAAAAAAAAGAGGGTGGGGGACACTCAATGAATATTCCGTACTGCTTTCTTTTGGGGATAACATTCTCCATCTCATTTCATGGCACTTAGGTTTTAAACCTTGTAAGTTGCTCTCCCTTTCGCTGGAGATTATGCCTCCCAGGCCCCTACTCCTCCTAAGAGCCAGCCAGCCGGGCCCCCCAGAGTGGCCTGGGCCAGCGAGGCCTCTTTGCTTCCCTGTTCCTCTTTGGGTCCACCCAGTTGGAGATGGACTGCATTCCTGGCTGGAGGAAGCACTAAGTTAGGCTCTGGGCTGACCTGTTTGGCAGCCCCTGACTTGCCCTTTGGGGCAGGGAAAACGTTGTCACTGAGGTGTGAGGTGTCGAAGCCCTAGAAAGGGGAACTCCCCTGGTGCTAGACGTGAGCTGATCAGATGCTCTGATTCAGATCAGATGCTCCTCTGCTTTGACTACACAGCTTGTGATGATGACCTGGTCCTGGGCCCATTGAGGCCCACCCTTTGCTTATTTCCTCAGCTGGCCAGTCTCAGTCTAGCCTGCAGCAGTGTGGGTGTGGGTGTGTGTGTGGGGGAGCAACTTAACCTCTTCAAAACCTCAGGTTGACGTGTAGAANGGTCCTGGGCCCATTGAGGCCCACCCTTTGCTTATTTCCTCAGCTGGCCAGTCTCAGTCTAGCCTGCAGCAGTGTGGGTGTGGGTGTGGGTGTGTGTGGGGGGGAGCAACTTAACCTCTTCAAAACCTCAGGTTGACGTGTAGAGAATTTCAGTATCTCAGCTTGGGGGTGAGGGGTGGGGCATGGGTCCCTCTTCTCAATCTTGCCAGACTGTGTGAGCCAGTTTGTCAGCTCTATGCCTTCCTTGAGAACTTTCTAGGGTGTGTGTGTGTTTAAGACTAGGAGTCATTTTCTGTCCTGGGATATTTCGTGAAGTAAAGGAAATGAGTGACTGTACCTTGAAATGCTGACAAAGGGGCATTGCAGAAATTCTGTGCTATTATTACCGTGAAATTTAGAGCAGAAGGGGCTCTCTGGCCTTCTCATCACTTTCCCGGACACAGAGCTTTGTCCTGGGAAGCTCTTTTTCCTGTCCCTGTGAGAAGTTGGCCTGGGGATGGGCATAGCAGCCAACCAAAAGTAGACTTTCTTTGTTGGAAATGGGGTGGCTCTGGGTGGTGACGAGAAGCCACCAGGAAGCATTGCCACCCCACCAACTGAGAAGAGGAGCCTTCGGGTCATTAGGGAACCCCATTTGTCAGACTCGGCTTCCTCCAAGCCCTCCATAGCCTGTCCTTCTGATCCCCTTATTGACACCCCCTCCCCCAAGTCCCACCCTTTCACATTCCTCTTCTTCCTCTGGGTCCTTCTGTGCCTGCAGACCCCACACCCATATCCTGTCTGGGGCTGCTGTAAGAGGGGAAAAAAGAAATGGGAAAAGAATTTTATCAGATATTTTCCAGAGGAGAGAGGACTCCACCCTTTGAATCTCTGCCACATGGCGACTGAGGAGTAGCGGCCTTGGGGACCTCTGACTAATGCAGTGACCCCCACTACTCTCACTGGCTGGGCCAACCCTGCTGGCACAACCTTTGCAAATGCGAGTCTTCAGTAGCATTCCTGTTTGACTGATAAAAACATGCCACCAGGGCCTCTTTTCCTTGTCGCTTTGGCTCCACCTCCTGGGAGCCCCATTCACTTGTGCTCACCTCTTTCAGTCTCTGACTCTGTCTTGAAAAGCTTGGGGCAAAGAGTCCCTAAATGCAGCAGATAAACTCCTGCACCATCTTATAAAAACAAACAAAAGGGGGAACAAATTCCACTTCTTATGGTCTCCTTGCCTGATTTCCTTTAGACCCTGGGCAGGCCGGCCCGGGCTGACTCTATGGGCTGGATGGTTACCCAGCTCCACCCTCAGGGTGCCTGGGCCCCCTCTCTCATTGACTTTACTTGATTTAACTAAATGGCCGGAGCGTGGAGAATTGAAAATATGAAGGTATGGAGGCGAGACAGAAACACCACCCTCCAGAAGAAAGTGCTCAGAGTCGCCAGGGCAGAATTTCCCTAGTTTTCTGGGTTTTGACTTCTCTAGTAAGAACATTTTCTTCCTGCCTCAGCAAAGAAAGAAAAATACATTATGTGCAACTTTCAGTCCCAAGGGCCCCCAACTTCACTAAGGGAAAGATGGGTGCATCTTGGGAAGCGGAGCCGCAGGCTAATGGGGATGCACACTAGCACCCGCACGCCAGAGCCCACCTGGGGGTGAACCACTCCCTTCAGGTCTAAGTAAAGGAAAAGGCCTTTTGGCTTCATTGGAAATTTGTTCTTTGTTGATTTTGGGGGTTGGGTGAAGGGGACAGAGAACCTGTAACATACCTTCCATCGGAGCAGCATCTCTAGGTAGCCAGTTCCATTGTTTAGGAAAATTCCTTAAATAGTCTTTGGATGAGACAGCCTACACCCCTGGACAAACTTTAGGATGTGCGAGTCAACAAGAGGTTGAATTGCTGAGTGTGATAAAAGAAAGTGGAACTTTGTATTTCATGGGTTGGAGACGAAAGGCTGAAGGACCCCAGAGTCCAAGGTGATCTATATAGAGAGGAGGGGTGGTGCCTGGAACAGTGGAGGGACAGTGATGAGTGGAGGGTGGAAAAGACGGGGCTAGGAGAAATTCCTTAGGGCACCGCGTGGATGTTAGGACAGTAGTGTCTAGAGTTTCAAAGTCATGTGAGCGTCTCTTCTGGCCTGTGCTCCAGGCTCTCGGGCCTTCAGTAAGCACACACTAGCCCTCCAGGGGGACGGGTGCTTGGCTACCCCCAGGGGAAGCAGTGCAGACCAGGAGCTGCTGCGGCCTGAGGACAGGGACCCTGGAGCTTCCAGGAGTCCGTGGCAACCAGGAAAGTGGAAGAAGGAGTGACTGGGAGAAATGTAGGCCCCCAGAGAAAGGTCCGGATATTGGGGCTCCACAGTCAGTAGAGGGGCTCTAAGACACACCATTTTGAATAGCAAAGGGAAGTTTTAGTACATGGGACACACTCAAACCACGGACACTTGGTTTACACTCGCACTTCAGCTTCGTCTCTGACGTGCAGGAAGACGTCAGCCCATTCCCTTGGTCTAACCCAACAAGGCCCAAACTCCCTGAGACCAGTAACAAGGATGTTTCCCGAATGCTCCCAGGAAAGAAGGGTGGCTCACTATCTCACATAGTAGTTCATTCCATTAAAAATAAACCCAGAAACTATCTCCCTTATCTTAAGCTTTTCTTTGTATTGCAGTGAAACTAGCCTTCTCCTGACTTCTAGTCCTTAATTCCAATTCTATTCTTTCTACTAATTCACAGAATTATTCTGATCTTTCTTCATGACAATCCTCAAGGACCTTTCTAGTCACCCCACTGGATTATAAACTCCTTGAGGACAGGGATATATCTAAATTCTAATGACACTCACGCCTAATAGTGGAAGGGAATCTTCTCTTGTTTTGTGCTTCCCACAGTCCTGAGCGTGGCCCTTCCCACATCACTGGTGCTTATGAAAAATAAGAATTAATAAGTGAAATGTACCTTGAAGAAAGTTATTTACTCTCCCTCCCCAAATTCTTTTCTAGGTCAGGGGTTAGCAGACTTTTATAGTAAAGGGGCAGATAGTGAATATTTTAGATTCTCAAGACATGGTGATCTTTGATACATATTCTACTTTATTTTACAACACTTTAAATACCTCAAAGCCATGTTTAGTTCACTGGCCACGCAATAAACAGCCCACGGGCAGGATTTGGTCCACTACCTTGTAGTCGCCAATCCTGATCTAGATGAAATAACACCAGGCCCTCAACCTCATGAGGCTATTTCTAGAACTCTCCTAATTCTGGTTAACGTCCCATAGACACTCCCTAATTTAATAAACTTCCTCTTAAAATACAGCATCTAATGAGACCCCTCTGCTTAGAGGTGATCGGTGTGATGTGCCTGGCCCAGTCGCCATTCACTCTGAGTGTTTATTCTGAACCCAGAGGACTGTGCTAAGCACTGAGTAAAACAAACGAGTGGAAGAGATGGTTCTGGCATTCGAGAAATTTATAATGGACCTGACGTGGCAAGACCTAGACTCAAAACAGCATACGTGATTTGTGCTCAATTAGTGATGGAGATACGTGTCTCAAGGTCTTGGAGAAGCTGAAGGAAAGGGGCCTACGCTAAAGATAACCACTATTTCTTGAGCATTTACCAGACAGACTAACTGCTTTACACCCTTTATCTCCTTTAGTCCTTAAAATGACTAGGAAGTAGGGGCTGTTTTTATCCCCATTTTACAGGTGAGGTTTAAAGAGGGGAAGAAGCTTCCCAAGGCCACACTGCTAGAGCATGGCGGAGAAGCTTTCCTTCCATCATGGCTTGAGAGCAGAGCCTGAGCTCTTTGTCTCCAGGCTCTGCCACCTTCTTACCAACGTAGGCTGTGGGCTCCCAGAAGAGGCCCTTGAGCTCCTTCTTTCTATACAGTGTCTCTATAGGCTGCGACACCCAGGAACTCCTCCAAGGAACTCCTGTTGGGCTGGGTGCTAGAATTTGAAAGGATGGGCAAAATGGGGCTGACTGGCTAGGAGATCAGAAAACAATACCAGCAAAAATAAATAAAACTAAAGGTCTATGAAAAGCAAGACCCAGTACAGGAAAATCCAGGCTCCTAAAGTATGGAAATTGAGTTATTTAAGTAGCAGATCTTTCTGGATTACTGAGGATTTGTAATCCCACTGCCACCCCCCTTTAAAGAATAACAGTATCTTCAGTTTACTAGTTGTAGGTAGAAATCTTATAAAAAATGTATTTAATACGCCTCTGCTTCCTTCCAAAAAAAAGAGGACTTGAACCTTCATGACTCAGATGTATCATGAAAATATCTTGGTCATGGTGCCACTCGGTGACTCCGTAACGCTTGTTACGGTGTGCATATTTATTTACTCCTGCCACAAATGGTTCCAGGTTAGTGTGGGTTTTGCTACTCATGTCTGTAAGTTCAGTGGATGCCTTTTACTACATCTATTTTAGCTTCTTAGAATCTTCATTTTGCTGACTCCCTGAGACCTTGCCTTCTCCCCTTGCCCCATGTTCAGGAGTTGAGATCAAATCGGATGCCTAGGGTCCAATGGGGGTACTTGGGGAGACACAGATAATAAAGACGGACTGAGAAGTAAGCAAGGGAAGACAGCCTTTTCTTTTGTTTTAAACTGTACTCTCATGTTTCTGTTGGGTTGGGGGTAAGGGCTGTGCCTCCCTCCCCGAGAATGGAAGGGAGTGCAGGTTTTTACCGTCGCTTTTAGGAACCTGCCTGGTGGGCTGCTGTACCCCCTGCAGAGCAGCGGATCCCAAGTTCAGATAAAGAAAGGGCAGATTTGAAGATTTCATGCCATGGGTGTGCTTGAGAAGTAGGATTAAAAAGAAGTCCGTGGCCCATCTTGATTCTTCTAAATGCCCTTTCCTCAAGACCCCAGTCTCTTCATGGGAATGAACCCTATAAAGGGGGCCTGAGAGACTGAAACGAAGAGACTCCTTCACTGATGGTCCCTATATCGCAGCACCTAGGCCGGGATTGTCTCCCAGGGCCACCAGCTTATACATCCCCCTCGCTCATGCTCCCCCTCCCTGTTGAGTTTCTCCAGAGTCTCAGAGGCTTCCCTGCTCACCCTGGGCTCAGGGACATGGACGGGAGGTTGGGCTCCATTGTCCTTTGCAGATGGATCCTGCTCCGAGTTCCCCAGCGCTCGCTCTGCTGAGCGGCGGGTGGGCGGAGGCTGCTGCAGCCGATCCCGATCCCGACCCTAGGGGGTTGGTGGCTGGCCTGGGCCCAGGGTTGCTTCATTCATCTGGCACAGGCACCTCTGTCCTCAGAACTAGCAGCAGGTCTCCCTACACATCTGGAGAAGTTCAAAACTGTTTGTCTGGGTGAAGGAGGCCCTGGGGGAGGGGGTTCAAAAGCATGACATCACCCCAGCCACGCCCAGCTTCCTTTGGGAAGAGAAAAGGGCTGGGCCAGCCCGGGCCAGATGGGATTCCCAAGAATTGATGTACTGGGAGGAAGAAGAAGAAAGGATGGGCAGGAAGAGTGATGTCAAGGGGGAGTTCCAGTGGTGCCTTGAGAGGATTACCCTGCGCTTCAGCTCCTGCCACCTGCCCCTACAGCGAACTCAAACCTTAGGGGCAGATTGCTGAGAGGGTCCTATTGAAGGACAGGGGGAGACGGAATCTGCTTCCCCACCTATTTTATTTTGTTAAACTCACCTTACCTAAGCCAGACAGAGTCCCTCCTTTTCTCTCCAGAGTATGGAGGATGCTGCTGGTCCTTAGCAGTTTGGTCCCCCTGAGTCAGCTAAACCTCCATGGCTCCATTGCTCCTCTCCCTGCATGAACTAATGTGCTCCCCTCTCTGCCAAAACCCTGGTGGTTCCGGTCTCATCTCTGAAACGGAGAGGGCAGTATTACTCTGTCCTCCTGCTCACCTGCCACATAATATTAAGATGATAGTTGTCCTCGCCCTTAATATCAATCTTCTTGCAGCAGGTTGGGGAGGGAGGCAGGTACGGGACAGCGACACTTGTCACCACCTTTAAGGGAAACATTTTTGCTCCCTGGTTGATTGCCTTGACACTGAAGACTAGTTTCCCTCTTGTTGCTAAAGAATAAGTGTCATTCTACATTGCTTTTTACCTGGAAACCTCGGGAAAAGACACACCTAGCTCTCAATCAGGAAAATTTAGAGACAAGCTTTATGGACCCAAGAGACTTTCCTTGAGGACGGTACTGCTGGATGTGAGCCCTGGATCTCAAGTCCACCTCTAACATTTACAGGGCCCAAGCCAAGAGTACAAAGGAGGTGCACATACTATATGTCTCAATATTTCAAAGTTATAAATCAGGCCAACTAACTGATAAATAAAATATTTTTTATTCTCATACCTTGGAAAACATGCCTTCATGGCCACCTGTAAGGCCAGGATTGAATTCAAGACACTCACAGTCCTGGAATTCAGTTTCACAGTGTGGCTGAGCAAGAGGCAATGGCCCTTGGCCCAAGCTCACCCTTCTTTTCTTCTTAATCATGACTCCTGCCCACACCATAGGGGATCTTGTATGCATGTGAGGGATACCCCACCCACACGCTTACATTCTAGCCCTTCTCCCTGCAAAGAGCCACCCATTAGCTGCCCTTGGGCCTTGAAGGTGCACACTCTGGTGCTGCAGTCACCTTCAGAAGGATGGGCTAGGAGAAAAGGCCCATGCAGGTCCTCAAGTGAGCACAAAGTCCTAGGACTTCCGGTCTCCAACGTATGATCTAGAAGAGAGGCTACATCTCTGTTGGCTCCATGGTTTGGGGCAGCTCAGGGCAGGAGGAGGGACAGAGTGTGGGCCCTAAAGTTCAGGGTCCGGGCAGGAAGCTTCTCCTCCTTGGGTCTAACGATGGCACTGCTGGGAACCCTAGGAAACATGGAAGGGCAAGGACCTCCTGAAGATCTTCGGAGAATAACTAGACCCAGGAACATTATACTATAGCAATTTAACATTTATCTCATTGATTCTCCCAAGAATCTGTGCAAGGAAAAACCCTCACTTTAGAGATTTGTAAGTGGAGACACACACACACACACACTAACTTGCAGAGTTACNAGCAATTTAACATTTATCTCATTGATTCTCCCAAGAATCTGTGCAAGGAAAAACCCTCACTTTAGAGATTTGTAAATGGAGACACACACACACACTAACTTGCAGAGTTACTGGCAGAGCCAAAACCACCCTCTCTGTCTTCCCACTGCTTCTGATGAGAAATCAGGCCTGATGATCTCCAGTTCATCAGCTAGATTTCTAGGGCAGAGATTCCTGAAAGAAACCTTGGGTTGCCTGCTGCAGTTCTNTCTCTGTCTTCCCACTGCTTCTGATGAGAAATCAGGCCTGATGATCTCCAATTCATCAGCTAGATTTCTAGGGCAGAGATTCCTGAAAGAAACCTTGGGGTTGCCTGCTGCAGTTCTTCAACCAAAGGAAAGTAGACTGGGTTTAAAGGCCGTGAGGGAAAGGATGAGGGGCTTTTGGGAATGGGGGAGTGTAGGAAGAGTAGAATACATGTAAGGAGACTGCACAGAGAATAGTGTGAACACAGCGATTATTCCAAGAATTAACATGGTGGGTAAAGAGTGAGAGAAAGAGAGGGTGCATTAAAAAGGGAGTAGCGATATACCCTCCCCACATTTTAGATCTTTGCAATATTTATTCAGGTGTAATTTGATATTTTAATATTTTACTTCACATGGTATGAACATAGCCTCACATATTCATGTTGCTGTAGTTTTTCCGTATCTTTTTATTTGTAATGATTATGGTATCTTAGGTGCATATGCCATTTGTCCTATTGTAATTCATTTAGCTGCTTGCAACTTGATAACCCTCCTATAGATAATACTACACCAGACACTGGGTGCAGACAAGCTTTTCCTTCCCTATTTCCTTAGGAAAATCTAGCAGTGAGAAATTAGTTGCCTGTCCAGGAGGATGTTCTTGTTGCTGCTGCCTTGCCAGGGGTGGCAGGAGATGTTCTAACGCTTCACGAATCCGTGTGCCATCCTTCCGCAGGAGCCATGCTATCTTCTCTGTACCATTCCAATTTTAGTATATGTGTTGCCGAAGCAAGCCCAAGATATTTTAGATGGATTCTACTTGAAGGCAAGAAATTGAATCACGCCCTGGCTGGTTTGGCTCAGTGGTTAGAGTGTTGGCCCGAGAACCAAAGGGTCGCTGGTTCGATTCCCGGTCCAGGGCACGTGCCTGGGTTGCAGGTTCCATCCCCGGCCCAAGTCGGAGTGGGTGTGGGAGGCATCCAGCAACCAATCGATGTGTCTCTCTCTCCCTCCCTCTCTCTCTAAAAATCAATGGAAAAAAATATCCTCGAGTGAGGATTAACAAAAAGG